CAAGCAAGCTATGTGAATAATCTTTCCGCAATTGTATTTAAAAACACTCAATTAATAGTCTATCAGTGAGTTTTTTTTATTTATATTAGTAGAGAATTTTTTTATAAAGGTTCAAAGTTGTCAATTTTACTGATTTTTACTATTTTGGAGGTGTTACAAAAATTTTAAAAAATCCGCATATATGAAAATTTATTATTGATGTTTATTATTTTTGATCAACCATTGTGACCAACCCCAGTATTTTATGGACCAGGCCAAAATTCATTGAACCATATTATATATATAAAAATTGTTGAATGAATTAACCGTGAATATATCAAAAAAATAATATTTTTATGGCTACTAAAATTTTTTTTATTGTTGGAGTAGGCGGTGCTGGTAAAACAACATTAGTTAATAATATTAAAGGTAGATTTCTTAATGCTCAAGTACATGATTTTGATGAAGTCGGAATACCAGAAGGAGTCGATGAAAAATGGAGACATGAAATGACAAGCTATTGGTTGACTAAAGCAAAAGAATATCATGACAATGGGCAAACAATGATACTTTGTGGGTTTATTGTGCCCAGTGAGGTAGAAAAACAACGGAATTTTGATCCCAGTATGAGAATAAATTATGGCTTTATACATATAAATCCTGAAACTATTAAACAAAGATTATTGGAAAGGGGTTGGGGTGATCAAAAAATTAGATATCACATAGAATGGGCAAATTACATCGAAGAGGAAATCAAAAAACATAAAGAACGATTTATTGTAAGTGGAGATGGAAATGAAAATAGTCCAAAGAAAGTAGCTGAAATCTTTGAAAATTGGATAATTAATCATTTAGAAGGTCGATTAGTAGTTACATGAAAATCAACTACAAGTTCAGACCCAATAAACACACCTTTGCCTCCTATGAGAAATAATTGATTGTGAAGTGATTGACATTTCTGTAATTATATAATAATAATAAACGATTAAAAAATCCCATGTTAATATATATGACCGTTATTTTATTATTATTACATCTAGTTCTCAAACGCTAAACACATCAATCCTCAAGTTATTATTATACTCCCACCACCTCAATAAAACAAAGCGAAGAATGTCCTAAAGACCATTTGCATTTGCTTAGTTTATAGATGATATATTTAATAGAATCATTCTCGCGCCTTAGTTTTCAAATTTTCTTTGTGTACATTATAAATCTCTATAATTTATATTAAATATTAATAAACAAAATATAAAAATCACAATGTATGTTAAATAAATATTACCTTGAATAATTAATAATACATAAGCATGTCTTCATCTATTTTAATAATATATTCAGGAATAAAGAAATTCTTTTAGGCATCTAAAGTGAGTCTTTCTCTGCTGTTCTATATAGAATTGAAGAGGTTGATAGTATGGGGTTCTCTATAGTACGAAATGTTTACGTTCATACTTTTTTTTTGTAAAATGGTAAATTTCTATAAAATGGTTTTCATGATTCTCTAAAACTTATTAGCCAACACCCTCATAAAGTAATAACCTTGGAGCATTTTACATCTATTGAGTCTTTTGAAAAATAATCTCAGCTTTGAAGTGAGAAAACAATACCAGTTTTGAATGGCCGTAGCTTTATGTAGAGTGCCCTTTTGACATATTAATTATTACAACTATAATTATTGTGTATAAGAATTTTTGAAATTTATACATACGTTACACCTATTCTTTGGACCTTTAAAAAAGAGGTTACTATTTGGCTGCCATGAACTTTGTCTATATAAAAAAATTATATTTCTGTACCTCTGTAATCTTTGAGATTTTTCCTATGTGCATATCTGGAACAACTTTTCATGCAAAGGTACTCTCAATTAGTCCGTCTGATCATTAATTAAAATTCACTCACTATATGGGATTTGGACTAGGAAAATCAACAACCTTTGGGGTCTCAGGACCAAAATCAAGATTTTTGATTCAATTTATTCTATTATACAAGGATTATAAATGAAAGTTTTGAATGATGTTGCATAATAAAACCTTGTACAATTGAGTCTTCTTTGTTTTCGTAGTGATTTTTTTTAACAAATTCGGAAATGATCGTCATTTGCGCACATTAAATTTTTAACAAAAAAAATTTTTATTTATGGTTCTGAACAATAAACATCTTTATATGGTTCACTAACATGTTGAATACAAGTATTCTTTAAAAGTAAAAAAGGATTTTCAATTCCATTTGATCCTTTTGAAACATACAGTCAACTTCTATATAGTCACATCCAATATAGTCACAACTCCTATATAGTCACATATTTTTTATTCCTGATTTTTTATATTAAAATTAATCATATATAGTCACTTTCATATTGTAATAACAGGAGAGACCGTCCTATATAAGGAATGGATTTTCACAATTGATTTCAAATTTTTTTATACAGTTTAAAATACTTTTACAAGGGTATCATGTAGCCCATTCTTACAATAAATCATGTGCAAATAATTACACAAACTTGAAGCTTTACACTTTGTTGTTATCATATCTTTTGAATCCCTTTGAATCCCACAACTTTCATAATACAATTTACTCAAAGAAAAATTGCCTGAAATTAAACATTGCACAGAATGTAAAACCACTGAATCAGCTAAATTTCATCAACAAAAGGCAATAAATGGAAAGAAGCTGAGAACAACAACTTAGTGAAAGCAACATGTTGTTTTATGTAACATATGTTATATGAATTTTGTAGAAAATTTTTTAAAAAGAGAACCTAGGAGAATAAAAACCACAGATGTGGAAGTGGAAGAAGGGGAAGAGGAAGAGGTAAGTGAAAAGATTGATTTCACTAGAGCCATCAAGGTCCTATATATGATTTTAATGAAATACGAAGATTGCTCCAAGAAATAGAACCAAGCTTGAAGGGGTTTTTTGACCAACTCTATTTAGCAGTTTGGCCATTTGAATGTAATGGACCATATGGAGAGATTAATGGTGGTGTTCATGTGTTATCTTCTTCTTGTTTTAAATAATACAAAAATTAACTCGACCTTGTATTCTATTTAGACTCAGTAGATACAAGTCTGGAGTAACTACAACATCAAGAGCAGTAGATCATAAAAAGAAGCAAGTTGCAGATGAACATGAGAAATATGTAAAGAATGCACTTACAAAATATTCAAAAATACATTCTTGTTGAATGTTGACAATTATCATAGATTCACATCCAGAGACAATCAGTATCCTTTAATTACTAAAACTTTGTTACTTCTAGGAAACCATCTACAAACATTTTTTGCAATTATGTATAATGTGATTTTGTTACAAGAACAGTCTCTCCTATGTATGAAGCTGTTTGTAAAATATATTTAATGAATGCTTTATCAATTATTAAATAATCATATAGGCGGGTTTGATTGGAGTAATTGTCAAAGTCAAGATCTATGAAGCTTGCAATCCAAGTTGCAAAATGAACTTTTATCAATTATTCAATAATTATAGAGGCAGGTTTGATCCAAGTAAGTGTTTAAGTCAAGATCTACAAAGCTTGTAATCCAGCTTTGAAAAATGAATGTATAGGCATGAATGAAGCATTTTTAGTAATAAACAAATAATCAATTCAATTGTCAACAATTAATTAATTAAACAAAATAATGCTTTCTTAAAAAATAAACAAATCAATGGTATGATCCAAAAAAAAACAGGACAAATGATAATAATAGTAAAAAAAAGTTTTTTAGCATTTTTAGTTAGTTAAACAGTAATCAATTCAATTAATAAAATTACATAGATCGATTTTTGAAATTACCAAATTACCACCCATTGAAAGCAAAAAATTCCTTCACAAAAAATTAGGTTTGAAAAACAAAAATTTTACCTGCTTGCATTGCTTTGCTTATTTTGCATTGTTTTGCAATTCATTGCAAAGCAATATTTTTTATATTTTTTAAAAAACAAAACATTTACCATACAACAAATTTTTGCTAAATATGTGAAAACGTTGATCGCGCCAAAACCAGGCACGATTAGACGTAAAAAGAAACAATCAGCAAAAAACCTGCACGAAAGTCGCACGACTTGCGGGTTTTGGAAGGAGATCGTGACACGGCAAATGTTAAATAATAATTGAAAGCAACTATTCTCTATACATAATTCTAGCCATGATATTTTCAAGGAGAATCACAAATATTTTGATTTAATTAATTAACAAACAAATAACTAAATAGAATTTAATTTGATTTATTAAATCATTGAATAGATCTCATCATCATTGAATAAATCTCATCATCGTTGAAACAATCATTCTCATCTATACATTATTCCCGCCCTGATATTTGCAATTATAACAAGGAGAATCGTAATTGAAATAATTTAATTATCAACCAATAAAATTCTAAAACGTAATTAATCACGTGAGATCTTTGACTAATCTATAACATTTTTGGATTGTTATTATTTATTGATAGAATAATCTGTTTTGGATCTACATTTATCAATCTATTCAATCTATTTGCCCCTTGATCTACAGTCTAAAAAAAAATTGTATATTGCTAGAAAGATACAAATATAATAAGGATTCTGGGTTTCTGTAATACTAGTATGTGGGTAGAAAAGATACAAATATAATAAGGATTCTGGGTTTCTGTAATACTAGTATGTGGGTATCAAAGTTTAGGGAGATACGACATGTTGGAAGAGTGTTCCTGTCTGACACGTGTATATCAAATTATTGGAATTACTATTTTTTCTCCCCTCAGAGTTGGAGTTTTCCAAATACAAACATGAACGAGGGAACTTATTATTTTATTTAGATTTTATTTCTTTTAATTATTTTTATTTTTTATGTATTTTCTATAAAAAAGTAAAGAACAAAGGAATTATGTCTAAAGTTAAGAAAAGATGGTAGAGAATATATTAATTAGAAATGGATATCAATAATTTATCGAATAATTATTTACATTGATTAATATAAATATTTTTTTATTTGAAAAAAATTTAATCATTATTATAAATAAATAATAATTATAATAGAATAATTGGAATAATGATATAATAATACTATGATAATAGTAGGAATAGTGGTAGCAGAAATACCAGATAAATATTAAATAGAAGACGATTTTTATTACTTGGGAAAAAAAACATAATTTAGAAAAAAGGAGTAAAATAAAAAATCAAAAATCAAAATGACTATTTGTTTTGTTTTTTTAAGGGTAAAAGAAAAAACTTAAATTAAAAAAAAAGATGATTGTCCTTTGTTACAATGTTACATAGATTGATGATGTTGTTGTTATGAATGTGTTAATTGCCTTTGAGAATTTGCAATTATTGCATTATTATTTGATGTGGTATTATTAGTATTGGTAGTGGCGGTAGGAATGTTGGCTATTGTTGTCGTGGGTGTGGTAGTAGTTTGTTGTTGTTGATTTGTAGATTGATTCTCGAGATTATTATTATTACCATTGCTCGGCACAAAATATAAGTTTTGCGGGGGATGATGATGATGAATAGGCATTATGTGAGACGGGGGTGGCTGATTATGATGTTGATGATGTTGACTAAGCACAGGTGCTACAGGCGATTGAAGAGATGGTTGTTGTTGTCGTGAATGATGTGATTGTGACGGCGGATGTGATGACATTTGTATTGGAATTGTATTCATGTTTATACCATTTTGTGGCATTATATTATAAGCAGCAGTATTACCTAATGACATTGGACCTACCCGTTGATGTCCAAATCCCATTGTAGGAGGAGGATGCCCATAAGCTCCACCACCACCATAATGATGATGATGATGTGGATGATGCGGATGAAATCGATTACCACCTTGCCTCATCTCCATTTCAACTCTCATCTCTAATAAACCTGCACGTTCTTTCAAATTACG